CAGACTTCGGTCTTCGCAATCGCTGTTGTACATATGTACACTTAATTCATTATATTTTAACCTATTATAAACATAATAATTAATTTAATTATTAGTTAGCAATATATTGTGAACAATATGTATTTTCGTCAGGTATAAACATAAATAAATACGTACCACCCTTAGTGACATACAAGTGATATGTACATATGTATGTATGTAAAGCTAAAATCCAATAAATGGGACGTATAATACATCTAATATCCGTTTCGTACATAGAAAAATTTAGTAAAAGTACAATACAATACGTAATGTACAGTAAATAACTAAACATATGGGAAATATAAATTAGTACTTCTCGCACTATTATTCTTATAAAAACAACTCCTTGCATAGCTTTACAAAATGATTCGAGCAACGACAATAGGACAAACAATCAGACCATAAAATAATGAATGTATTACACCTAAGGGCAAAATCAATATAAAATCGCGTAAATTAGTGAAGGAGGGAACAGAACATGAACCATTGACCTGCATATAAGTGCATATTGTTTTACTACAGTTGAACATATAAAGATAAACATGTCGATTCATTTTAAATAGTAAAAAGCCTATAATAGTTTTACAAAAACTGATAGCGATTCATTGTAAATACACGGAAATCAACCCTTCATCTAGGATGGCAATAAAGAAAATGTGTAAAGAGATGTTCTGTAGAGAAATTTAAACTGAACCATGCTGTACCCTTGTAAATACGTACTGAGTTCGAAAGAAGAGAATCCGGAATACTCAACCGTTCAAAGATACCGGAAACTCATTGAAGGAATGATCAATACACAAGATTGCTAGTTTCGTGCACGTTTAATCTGATCACCGTCACTTTCGCCGATCAATTGGTGTTTTTCAATGACTCGGATGATCACTGCACCCCCAGCATGGCGGTGGACGATACCACGTAAGGGAAGACTATGCGGCGTGTGAGCAGATGCAGTGGTTGCGACTACGGCAGCACATTTCAGTGTCAGAGAGCGTCGCGGCGCGGTTCGCGAAACGCCACCCATGCCGCGCAATCGGATAGAGGCGAAGTGCGGCGGATCCAGGTCGATCAATATGACGGGTCAGCAGTCGTTGTGTTGCGGCAAGAACGCTGAGCAACCGATGAGAGGCACAGAAATCTGTAAAACAGAGAGGGAATACTACGTTTGAGCTGCAAATGTTCATCTCCAGAATGCGTTTTCGCACAAAATGCACGCATGCTGTTCCAGGCACTCTCAGCTCTGCCTGGATCTTTAAATGTCACGGAAAAAAATAATTTTTCTCACTCTTGCCATCTATCGTCTTTTTATTTATTATAATTACTACTCATCGCACAAAACAGAAG